CCACAATGCAAGAATGGGTATTCTCTGGAAATGGTAGAAGATGAGCTAAAAATGACATGCATGGTGGGTAACAAAATTCTGGAACTAGTTGGTATAGCAGGTTGTGTAAGAAATCCTTCAGGCAACAGGCAAGGATGTGCCTTCTGACATCCAATATGCAATCTTAGGGGGCACTGGAGGAGGAGAGATACTGGAGAGAAATGGACTGCTGACAGCACTCAGGTTTGCAGGTGCCTAACGAGCACCTTCCACCACTCAGGAGCCAAATGGGCCATTGCTTTGACCCAGTAAGCCATTTTTTAAATTCCTGTAATTCTGTCTCGGTTGGACAGGAAAAAAAATGGAGAAGTTGCACTGGGAAGATGTGATGCTATATGGAGATGTGTGATGTCAGCAAACTTTTTGTTGCTTTCACAGTCTTCCCAGTTTTGTCCATGTTGGTTGGCCTCATTCACCTGATAAACATGGAGCACTGTCTGACCACAGGTTAGTGTCTGCTCACAAAGGAGAAGCCAGCTCTGGCACCTGCTTCTGGCCCCCTCATGAGTAAGGACAGGGGTCACTTACTTGAAGAAGTTGGGAAGATAATGGATTGCTTTCTGGGAACGTGTGTCTCTGACATGAGTTATTTGTCTGGGCAAATTGTATCTGGGCTGGGAAACTTTTGGCAAATGGGCAAAATCATACTGGATTTAGCTCAGTGAAGGTGGAATGATTTAGGCCTTTGAGTGGATCCCCAAATTGTTGACACTGCAAGTAATTATCCAGCCTGATTTTTTTTTATTTTTTTTTTTTAAATGGTGCAAAAGTTTACCTGGAGACAAAGCCATCACTGAAGATGAAAGCCAGGGCTTTTGTCAGGTTGTCTGAGAAATGGCTCCCCTCCTGAGCTGCTTGACAGTTGTCGTCCATAATGCAAATTCATTTGGGCATAAACTTGCTTTTTCTTCTAGATTTCATTTGCAGTGGTTCTTGACATCTTCTTTAGCTGTGGAACAAAAGAAAAAAACCTCAGTTTGAACTGACAAGTAAATTGTTATATAACTTTCCAAACCCTTGGAGGGAGCTGTTGTAATTATACTGTGGGTTTTACTTTTTTATAGCTGTAAGTACTAATTCATATAACGCCAAAGTGAATTACATGTTTGAATTGTTTATATTACCTCTGGGCTTTGATGTAGTGCTCAATGAAGTCTCTCTGTAATTACTTTTGAAGTTGTGTGTATCGTTACATGTGTATCATGTTGCCAGAGCATCACCTCAGCAGTTACTCAGTCTACATTGTAAAATAAAATGTAATCCAATTAGCATTTTGTAAACCTCCAGTTGCTGTTTTCCATCTTGTTTCTGCTAATATAATAAGAGCCTTCTTTTCAAGCGCCTCCTCTGCCACCATCTCTTACGTTGTCTGAGCATGTTGTGAGTATCATGAGGGCAAAAAGAAAGAAGCTTCTCTCTGAGAAGGTTTTCCATTTCTTGTGTTTCTAGATCTGCCTGACACAAACTCAGGTTCAGCCTCCTTCTAAGAAATCACTTAGATGTTTCTAAAAAGCAGAAAGCAGATTTGGAGCATCCTAAGGGAACCGGTCACAGAATCACAGAATCGCAAGGGTTGGAAGGGACCTCAGGAGATCATCTAGTCCAACCCCCCTGCTAAAGCAGGCTCTCCTAGAGCATTCTGCACAGGACTTCATCCAGGCGGGCCTTGAATATCTCCAGAGAAGGAGACTCCACAACCTCCCTGGGCAGCCTGTTCCAGTGCTCTGTCACCCTCGAAGTAAAGAAGTTTTTCCTCATATTCAACTGAAACCTCTTATGTTTCAGTTTGCATCCATTGCCCCTAGTCCTGTCGCTGGACACCACTGCAAACAGACTGCTTCCATCCTCATGACTTCCGCCCTTAAGATATTTGTATGTGTTGATAAGGTCCCCTCTCAGTCTTCTCTTCTTCAGGCTGAACAAGCCCAAAAAACATTAAACACATACTTGCTTACGTACCAAAAGCCTGTGTGCTGCATGGCTTTGTGTTCTGGGTGCACCCTGTGACGCATTTAGGGGTGTAAGTGGAATGGTGACGTAAACAGACAAAAGATGAGCAAAGCTTCAGCAGCGCATCCCTAAAGCTAGCCACGTTCAGCAGTGCTGCAAGGGAGGTTTTGATTACCACTAATGACTGCGTTCTTCTGAAACGAGCACTGAGCTGTAGTGTTTATCTTGAATCTTGTCTGATTTTACCTAAGTGCATTCAGATGTTGACTGAATCAAGGCATTGATATATTGGCCTCCTTTAAGCTAAACAGTTGTCTGAAAATAATAGCCCTTTATGGCAGTTTTCTCTATCTGCAGTGAGTATTTTTTGGGGGGGTGCCGTGGTTATCGTCTGTGTGCAGTCCAGAACTGTGCTACGTACGAAGGTGAGTTTCAGAAACAAAGGTACGAACTGACCGAACTTGGTAGCAACTGTCATTTTTTTAGCTGGTAAAGTTGTTTGCAGTTAGAATAGAGACTTTACAAAGCCCTGCTTTAATTTCATTTCATTTTTAAACAATTATATTAGTAAGATTGACCCAAAGTTACTGGCTAATCAAGTCAGGGATTTAATTAGAACTCGAATGTAATGTGGGTGCAGCAATATTCCACTTGAAATTAATGAAGTACCAATGAAGAAAAAAATTTGCTTGCTGTACTGCCAAGTGCAACTCTGCTAGGAAAATCAAAGCAGTTAATAATTGCAAAGCATTTTTAAGCGTTTCCATAGCCCTATAAACTCTCATCATTTATCACATTTCCAGGATGCTGGGCAAACACATGCTGTATGTGCTCTCACTCCTTCACTGGCACTTGTCAGCCTCTACTTAGCATTTCTCTTGAAGACTTCACATACTTGCACAGCAAAGTATGCCAGAAGCGTATGGCTGAGCAGAGGAGAAAACTCCCCATCCACAAGCTCACTGGTGGGGTGTGGATAGTGCTACAGGGCCTGGGCAAACTCTGGTGCTAGGGTTTGTTACATGAAGAAATGAACCAAGGAGGCAATCCAGGCTATGTCTCCTGTGCGTTCTTGCATAAGAAAAACTTTTAATGGTGGTGTCCCTGGTGTTATAATCAACATAATAAAATGTCTGGAAGGTGAACATTCGAGCGCATCATTAGCAGTTGTTTTGGAAAAGGTTAGCTACAGCTGTAGCACAGAGATGTTGAATTCATCACCTTTGGAGTTCTCTAATCATTATGGCTGGGATTTTGCATTTCATAGGAAGCAAGGGTTCTGAAGGAAAGATCAATGAGGAATAAGGGAGCTAGGTTACTCATAGAAAACTCTATAAAAACATTATAAAATAGTAAGACTTGGTGTGTTATGAGGGTTTTGTATGAGCATGGGGAGGCCCATGTTTACTTGCTGAATCAGCAGATGTGATGTCCTGAACTTGGAGAGCTTAACCAAGCCTATGATTACCAAACCATTCCTCTTTAACACTTTCTTTTTCCCCAGGTAATTTGGAGAATGACAGCTTCCATGTTTATGTTCCAGGGAAGGATGTCCTAAACATTGCAACCAGTAACAATAGTAATGCTCTTTGAAGTGTAACATTGATAGCAAAGTGCCAGTATGTTTCCGTTATATATAAGGGAATCCAGATTTTTACTTTTTTTTTTTCATATTATTCTAGTTTGTAGTCCTCTTTGAAAGTAATCTAAAGGGTTGCCTGATGAAGATCTATTAGCTGTCCAAATACAATGAGAAGTGCCAGAAGCCCATATGCCTCATCTGACTGCTTTTATGTTAAAAATCCTTCTGCTGGGAGACCGTGATTGCAACAGCAGAAGTAACTATAGGTTGAGACACACCACCGCTTTGGCACATGAGCCATTCCTTGCACTGAACACATGTCGCCTGGAACCCAGGTGCAAGCCCTGTGTCAGGAATCATTTCGTGCTGTCGTCTTAATAGAAAAATGAGCTTTCCATAAGTGAGTGCCATATATGCACTGCTGTGGATGAAACTGTGAGATCCTGACTATGTTAGCCAATTTAAAAGGCTTGAGAACAGATGCCTCTTGGCCTGTATTGTCAGATGCTGCTGCTATATGCTCTACACCAAATACTTGTCTAGTGCGATAGTGTGACTTCAGGATGCCTTTTACTGAAAGAATATCCCAGGGACATCATCCAGGAACAAAACAAGGCTGAATCCAATGTACTCCAAGAGAGTGAATTGCTACTTGCTTGTTCTGGTTTCCTGGGGAGGAGAGCATGGTGCAAGAGTTAGCGTGGGCTGGAGACTCTTCCTGGGGGACAGGTTGGATGTGGCTGTTCTGTTTTGAAGTTTAGTGAGTGTTACTTGTACAGAGGTGATCAGGCTGTGCCCATTGGCCTCCAGGCCGCCTGTGGCCCCGGCGTTGTCTACTCCGCAGGTAGATGCCTAGCCAAGTGGCATGAGTTGTTCTCTCTAAGTCTCTTTGGAAGATTCATGTTTATATTTGAAATTGAAACAGCTGATTAATTTTAGCTCTATACAACTGCTGGTTGTCTGGGGTTTTTTTCTTCTTAAGCTGGAGTTTTGCAATTTGAGCATTCCTCTTGCGTTATGCCAACTTCACTTTGAGTTGCCAAACTGTAGTGCAAATTCACTCCTCTTCGTTCTTTGAGAGGCGGTCAGCTAAAGTATGCACTGAGGTTGCAAGCAGCAAGTTTAAGCCCATCATCATCTTCACTAGAAGACATCAGCAGTGGCTTAGTGTTTCTGGAGTAGCTAGCAGTCTGCGCTGTTATATTAAGCTGGATCATGAGGGGGAAATCTCCGCTTGCCACCTCCTGAGCTGTGTGTTTCTGTTTAAAAGAGTTTCTAGCTTGCTGGTGGAAGTGAATGCTTCTGACCTGAGCAGGGCCCTAGAAGTTCTCCTGTACGTATCTGTTGGCTGACGGTCAAGCGTGAGGTACACAGAAGCAAAAATACGAATATACTGACTCCTTTTTTTTCAATCTTTATTTAGGTACTTCCTTTCCCCAGCCAGGTGGTCTACAACAGAGTTGGGAAGTGTGGGAGTCGAACTGTGGTTTTGCTCTTGAGAATTTTATCAGAGAAACACGGATTCAACCTGGTTACATCTGACATCCATAACAAAACAAGACTGACCAAAAACGAACAGGTAAGTTGTTCCTGCTCATCTTAGGTCCCAGTTTCTTATTATGTTTGTGAAACTGAGAAACAAAGGTATTTGCTAGCAGAAATCATATTGAAAAGGTGTACTGCTACTTTGACCTGAGTAATCAGCCAGCATTCATCGTCCTCTAAGTGGCTTCAGTTAATAGAAGGGGACGGTAGAGCCAAGAGCAACACGATGTGGAAGCTAACCAGAAAAACTAACTTCCAGTGAGCCAGCTCTTGAATTTAGTCGGCATAGCAGTTAGTCCAGCAGAGAAGCAAGAAGGATTAGTACAAGTGAAGTTAGGTGCGAACAGCTTCTGGGACCTGTATTAATGTATCTGCAGGGCACAGCCATTTATCATGTAAGTGGGCCAGCTTTTTCAGGCCTAGCTTGGGTCTCTTTAAATAGGGCAGGAATAATAGTCAGCAGGGTTTGGGGTTTTTTTCCTCTCACTTTCTTAATTCACTTCTAGTAATCACTTGCTTCAAAAAGTTGTTTCCCAGGGCGATGGTAACCCATGTTGCTATAATGTGACACATCCTTGATCCTATCTCAGCCTCTTGCTCATCTGACTTTTTCATGTTACCGCACAACTAAAACAAGTAAATATACCACATGAAACCTCTTTACCCAGACACCCCTTTTCATGTTCCCTTAAAGTTGCAGAGGGCATTATTTTTGCAGCTTTGATTCCACAGCAGATCCAGTTATTTAAATTCCCTTGTATTTAGGGTAACCGTGTGCCCTCTGTGAGTATCGCTGCCATCAGTGGGGTAGTAATGCAAGTAACACAAAAACCCTCAGACTCCAAAGTGTACGGATATCGTTAGATGCCGTACGCACAACTGCTGCACGCGTTGCCCACAGCTGCTATTTCGATCTGCTGATCAGGTAAATGCCGCGATAACTGCCTGCGTCGCTCCTAGGAATAGCAGCCTGCAAACCACAAAAGGATGTATGCAATGATCAAAATACAGACGTGAGCCTGCCCAGCGGCATTGTGGTGTGATTGGGGGTGATTTATTTGTAGCCTGTTTACGAGCGTAAGTTTGTTAATTTAGATACAGCAGTTCATTCCAAATGGAAATTTGGGAGCAGATACTGCTACTGCAGGTCCCCCCTTCCAAGGTGGCCATCAGGGTTAGGCTTACCTAACCCCACTTCGCACTCAAGTTCAGCCCGAGGCGGGGACTGCCTGACCAGGGCTGCCACACCAACCCAAAGTGTCCCCCCCTCTGCCCTTGCCGGTGGCTGAGGGACAGGGCAGCACCCTGGGCTGCAGCTACTTCAGCATCCCACTGTGTATTCCACTGGTGGCACCCTGGAGCCTGGGGAGTTCACACCAAAATGGTCCCATCAGGTCGGAGTCAAACTACCCTGTGCTGCAGAGCCTGCCTGGTTAGTTATTCTCTTTAACTGTTGGATATGGGACAGGGGATTTCTGTGGGTATGACTGCTTTTGTGTTTCAGTTTGTTCGGGTTTTGTTTTGACTATGTCCTTCATTGAGTTTCATTGCTGATTGGGAGATGCATCCTAAAACCTAAAAACCTTTCAGGCATTAATAATCATCGGCTTTCACCCTCATCAGCTACTTCATTTCGGTTCTGTTCTGCATTTCTCTGGTAGCTGGATTGTCCTTTATTAAACATGGTACAAGATCAGATCTCAACAGTCTTCTGTGCTTTAGTCACACAGCACATGGAGATCCCAGAGAGGCTCAAACTTGGTTTTGATGCAGCCAATACACTAACGGAGGATAAATACCTGCATTACTTTTTGCACTACAGAAGCTGTTATGTTACTAGATGGCGACTGTGCTGGAACACAGATGGCGCTGGACGTACTGCTACAGAGCTGATGATATATTCTATAGATTGCCCTACTATAACTTGAGTCTCTTTAGTTTAGTTTATGGCTTATTTTCATAGCTATAATAGGCTCATCATTTAATGAGTACTTTTGCTGAAAAGTGCCTTTGATCACCAGGAAACATGCCTGGAGACAGAAACTGTTTTGTTGTTCAGGGTATTTTTGGTTGTTTTCTCATTTTTTATGAGCAGAGTATGAAAAAAGAAATTATTTCTCCCACGTTTAATGTGGTGTACACAAGAGGAAGTTAAGAGAATGGATGGTCTTGGGCTCCAGGCATTGGCACGAGAGAAAAGAGAGCTGGGCTGGGCTGTAGGCTCCCAGTATGAGCTTGGGCTTCACACTTGACGGTTTGTCTCTTTTCCTTCTGTCATTTTGTCTGTCCTGTGTTTGGTTAAAGCCCTGATCCAGCCAAGACTTTTCTGTAAATATTTAGCTTATGCAGCCTGCTGTTGTTAAATAAAGTTAAGCATGTAGGTGTTCTTAATGACTGGGGAGATTGCACGTAACTGGAATCCATATTCTTGTCGCCTTTTGCAGTCTACTTCCTACTAAGAAATATTCCTGAATTATGTGAGCCTGCTAGCAATTAGAAGTGCAGCCTTTGAACATCTATGGGCTTAAGGGAGTGAGTTCTGGAAACAGATGAGTTAATCTGTGCCTTACCATTTGCTATAATATTTCCAAGTAAATTAAATGCAGAAAATAGTGTGTAGTATTCTTGTATACAAAGTCAGTCTAATTGATGTGGCTTTAAAATGACACACATTCTGTTGCAAAATGAATTATTCCTCTTCCCCAGCCCCCCCCCCCCCCCCCCATTTTTTTGCATTCAGAGATGTAAGAATAAGTATGCTTATAGATATGCAAATACTGATCACATATGGGAGTAGTTGATAGTTTATCAACACATCGTTTCCCTCTACCACCCACCCTTATGGCTGTGCAGACAGCTTTATATATAATTCCGGTTTAACACACTAAAAATCCATCCCTAATTTTTCTTAAATGCTTTTAAAGACAGAAAATTGGTCATAGCAGCTTGGGGAGTGTAAGAAATTCTTGAAACCATTCCAGATTTTTGAGAGCTGAAAATGAAGATATAGTCTCATTCCTGTGAGTTGTTTATGGAAATGAATACCGAGATGGAAGTGATATACCAAATACCTGTAGATACTTGTGCTTCCTGGACCCTATGTGCCTTCAGTAGAGACCAAAACCAGGGGAAGAAGGTAAACAACTTGCAAGAAAGACAGATACAGAGAAATTCTTGTTCTATTTTTATCAGTGTTAGTGGAGACCATAGTGTCATCCAGCTGACCTCACTTGGAAAATCCCAGTTGCCTCACCATTTTTATACATTTTGACCTCAAATTTTCTCCCAGTGAAATACAGCAGCTTAAAAATGTAGCAATGTTCCAGCTGTTGTCTGGGCAGGAATATTATCTGGTTATTTTTTTCTTCCCAGTACAATTTACCTATGACAAATCTCGAACCAAGCGGGACTGCTCTGAGCAGGTGGTGCGGGTGGCTCGCCCTTTTCCAAAGAGGGGAAGAAGGTGTCCTCTCTCGCAGGTCTGGGTTGAGTTTTGTGCGGGAACAATGCTGTGGCTGGAGCAAAGCCATCCTCCACGTTTCTTCTCTTTCGGGGAGGGCCCCATCCATTCTCTCTCAGAGTCATTTCACTGTGCCATCTGCTGGATTGTTATTTACAGTGCAGCAACAGCTGAGTACAAATACACGGGTGGTGCTGAGCCATTACGGTTTGATTTCTTCAGTAGGGCCAACTGAGGTCCTACAGTGGTAGTGTAGGAGAGTAGACATCCCCTTGGCGTATTGCCTCTTGATGTGCTTGCTCAGGTGGGCTTTAAGATTTATAAATAGCTTGTGATTTACAGGATTGCCTCTGTTTGCAGATCTGGCCTTGTTTAAAGGTCTGTTTAAAAGTCAGCACAGAAAATGAATTTTGGAGAAAAATTTAGAAGAAAAGCTTAAGCAAGGAGTCACAACAGTAGAAAGATGTTACGCTAGGGAACAAATCCGCATTTAGGCTAAATGCTGTTACTCACAATTAATTAATTAGTGTTGGGTGGGAGGTGGAATTGGCTTGGGTTTTTTGTGGCCATGTAGTTTATCTTCAAATCCCAGGTATTTCTGTCTGCAGTGGGCTCCACTGGTGGATGTGAGCACGTGGGCACCGGGTACCACCACCTGCCTCTCCCTACCCACTCCTGTGTCCTGGCACTTCCCTCTCCCCAGATCCTTGCTTGACAGTGTTAACTCTCTGGTGCAATTTAGTTCATTTCAAAAGCAAATTACTATCTTTTTCAGCACTGTCTCAGTGAAACAGCTAAAAGTTAACTCCAGCAGGAGAGCTTGGGGAAGCAGCAGGGAAGAGGAATAGCTCTTTACGGGCCCTTATCGTAGCAGGCACGTGCTCCTTTTGGTCTTCCCCCAGATATTTTTATAGCTTCTCCCTCCAAACATGGATGTGTTCTGGTTCATCTCTCCCCTGACGGTGTTTGCCAGGGTAGTTTAGCCTCTGCTGCTTGTGGCTTTTCATCTCTTTCCAAACTTTGGTTGGTTTAAGACCATCTCCTGGATAGTCTGTGCTTGTATGTATATCTCACTCCTGCATCACCCATTCCATCCAAAGGTACTTGCTTTCCTCAGCTCTCATCCTCTGCTCACTCTTCCTCCTCATGGGTCCTCTGCACTAACCATCTTGTGTTAGAAACAAAAAACCCCAATGACCAAAAAAACCACAAACAAACAAAACTCACAACACAAAACCCAAACCAAAAAAAACCCCAAACCCCACTGGAGACCTTACTTTTCTGGGATACACTGGAAGATAATATTATTATTATTACTTACTACTACTACTGCTACTACTATTACTACTGCTACTACTACTATTACTATTTATTTATTTATTTTTATTTATTTAACATAATCTTAGAAGGAAGGCTGTTCACTAGGTATTCCTGACCAATATGTTTGGCTTGTTAGGCTGAAATCAGTTCAGCACAGTGGGATCAGAAAGAGAGAGAGGGACCCATGGGAAATATGGCCACAATTTGCATGTGGCCATGAGCCATTACGGTTATTTATTTTTCCCTCCTGACATCTGTGTGTTGTTTCTGTTGAGCCTTACTTACCCTTTTGGCAGGGCTTTTAAAAGAATGGTTTTTTGCTTGTTTGTTCATATGCACATTGCAGCTCTATCCACATCTGCTTACAAGTCCCGTTGATCCTTAAGTGTCTAAATACGAAGGTACTTCAAGTCAAAACAAAATTCTGTATCTGCTTTGGAGTAAGCTATCATCATAGCTCAAGAGACTGAGTTTGGAAGCAAGAGACTGAGTTTGGTAGCAAGAGATTAAAAAGAAAGCCAGGCACCAGATGTGGTCCTGCTCTCTGTGCATCTTCCCAGGCTCGCTTCGCTCCCGAGGCAGAAGTGCCCCTGCTAGTCCGGCAGCAGGTTGGCAGGAGCCGGGCGCTGACAGCGGGTGACGCGCAATGGGAGACGTGGCGATGATGTCATGTGAATCAGCCCAGCGCTAGCAAATTGGTACCAGCCACGGGGTGAGCTGAGGGGCAAGGGAGGCTTGCGTGGTGTTTGGTAGCACTCGCATATACCTCACCCACCCCCCCATGTTTATCTACCGGTATGATAGTAAAGCTGCCTGTCTTTTTAAACTCAGTGGGATTACTTTGTATGGATAAACTATCTTTACATCTCCATATTTATATTCTAATGATGGGGTTTGGTTTATTCCAAGATGGAATTACAGTGGTGACCGTAATGGCATGAGTAGTTTTGATCCTGTATCAATAACCTCCTTCTGCCATCTTCCTTCCTTCCTTCATGCAGATAGAGCAATGTGGGAAAATGCCAATGTAACAAAGCTTCACACAGTTCTGAGAATTTCACTTCTCCTGTAACTTGTCTGGGTAAAAACAAAAAAGAAACCAGTTGAGGCATCTGATACCTAGCCTCTAGAGTCTCCTCTTGTTTCATTCTGCAAGGTGAATGAATGTAGTTTTTTGGCAGATTGAGTTACCAGTCCTAAAGAAACGTTGGCTTATTTGGTTTGCTAGGAAAGCATTTGTCTCTTCAGAGCATTAACAAACAGTTCTCAGTTACTTTGTGCCAATTATTGAAAAGTTTCCTGGGCTCTCTAATTCTGGTCTGGGCAAGCTCTGTTATTAAGGTTTATGAATTTCTTGCTCACAGCATTTGTATTGTACTGGAGGAACTGTATAAAGACCTATTTGTACTTGAATCAAACAGTCCAGAGTCCAGATAAAGCCAGGGGGCTATTCCCTTCCTGCCTTTTTTTTTTTTTTTTAAAAATTACACATATTCTCTCTGTTTTCTCTTGTTTCTCTCTTTCTTTCTTATTGTCGTTCTTTTGGTGGTCTCCTCCTTCTTTACATTCCATTCCCTTGAGTTTAACAGCCTTTCTCAGACCTAATATACCTTGATAGATGGCTATACCTTGATATGCTTTCTCAGACCTAATGTGCCTTGATGTACTCGAACTCGTTTGACGGGCAAAGGCCCATCCTGAGAAGACGGACAAACTGAACTGTTTGCTGCAGTGCTCGTTGTACATGTATGTGCGTAAAATTGTTGTAGGCAGAGGAAAAGTAGGGAAAAGCTATTGGTGTGTACACTTTTTTATTCAGTCCTAGAAGTTAAATGGCTATCGCTTGTGTTGTCTGAAAGAAGGCAGCAGGTTATGTGTCCTAGGGAAAAAATGGAGGATGAAAGATGGATGAGAAGCAGTAAAATGTGGCAGTGTAGAAACTATGGCAAAATACCAGTGTGTTGAAACTGGGAAATAGAGGGGGCCAAAATCTGACAATTGCTGTCCCTTAAATGTAGTTTAATATTTGTTATAGCACGGACATCATTTTCTACCATGCTCTTCAGGCTTTTAGTGCAGTAACTCATCACGTGCCAGTCAGTTTATCTTGACCACATAACAGGCTGGACCCCATGTTTTTCCTATTTTGTCTATGTCAGCTATAGCATTCAAATTTTAAGAAATAGAGGCTTTTTTTAATTAATGTCCCCTTAATGGTGTTTAAATTTAGCATATGAATGTATATGATTCAAACCAGAATCTTTGGTTCACCTTCTCTTACCTTTTTTTTGTTTGTTTGTTTATGGATTTCTGTTACTTTCTCTATTACTTTCTACTACCCAGTTTGTAAAGTCAGCAAACCTAACATTTCAAATGCATTCCTGTTCGGTGTCCATAATACAGCCTGCATTTGGGCACAGAGCAGTAAATCTGAAAAAAAATCTTAGGAAATTAAGGAAGCAAAATTAACCAGGACACCTTGACACTAGCATGATGCTCCACTAGACATTTTAATTTTCCTCTAAATCATAGCTAGAGCCCAGCTTACACAACACAGGTATTCATATCCATGGTGCACAGTCTTCAGTACATGCTGTGGTGTGAATGTGCCTGAACTAGAACTTTAGCCTCATCTTTCTAAAAGTGCCCATTTGATTTGTACTCTTAATTTGCTGTAATGGTAAAAGGAATGGGAAGTGCACATTTCTGTATTTAAACAGGTGAATTGTTCAGAGTTTCGGCAATGCTGGCAATTGTTATTGTTATACGAAAATGATGATTGGCTCAGCTCCCGCTTGCTGTCACAGTTTCAGATGTTTTACGTTTTGGCATTCTGGTGAATAGAGCCAGTGTCTTCAGAGGGCAGCTTCCGCTTGCAAAGCTCTGGTGAAGATTTAGGCAGGGTTTAGATTTTTCCTTGAGTTTATACCTTTCCTTAAACTGATACCCACTTTTGGAAGTACAGAAGCTCCATGATAGCAGGACGGTGTCTGCACCTTACCCTTTCTTGCTTAGACATGAGATAGTAGTCATGCTATCTTGATGACAGATTTGGGAGGGATAGTGAGGAAGACGTTCCTGACTAATTCAAACTTGAAAATTACATCATCATATGTTGTTTGAGAGTTATATTTGTCTCAAAATGTACATTGACGTAACATGGAAAATTTGATTTGTTAATTCTTTTTAGATGGAATTGATTAAAAACATAAGCACTGCTGAGCAGCCCTATTTATTCACTAGACACGTTCATTTCCTCAACTTCTCAAGGTAAGGCAATTCTCAGTTAAAAATCTTTTTCATTGATTTCTATTAATTGTAACACATAGAACATTTCCCCTCCTTTTTAACATATAAATAATACAATGTACTTTTTTCCTCCTTTCTGGTGCTGAAAGTCACATTCAGAAGTTTGGGGTTTTTTTCCTGCGCTCTCTTTGCTACAGAATAATTAAGTACAGTATGCTTGTGAAAAGCCAGGATGCTATCGCATGCCTTTGCCTCCAAGATGATCTTGGTTTATAACATTTCCAGCCAACATGTGTGAGATGGTAACTTGGGTCTTTAAACTGTGCACTTGTGTTTGAAAAGTGGCAGCACACTGATGTGAATGTTTTCTCTCTGTATGGTCAGATACTAACACAGGACTGAAAACTCCACTGAGTTCATTAATTTTGTACCTGGAATGACTCTTCACCAATTTAACCAATTTAATTTTTTACTGACAAAATAGTTCCCATTCCACAGGATACAGAAGTATTTATAAACCATGCAAACAGATTATGCTCTGTATCATGGGAGTGCAGTCCCTGCTGGCAGCTATTTAAAAGTATGTTGCAAGACTCTAGAGACATTTATAGCATGGAATGTGAAGAAAATTGAATTTGAATGAAACTTCTGAGGAATTTTTGGAAGGACGTGAATGAGTGATGCCAGTTAGCACTTAGCCAGGACACAGAGGTTAAAGCTGACTGCAGATGGTTATTGCCCAGGCTGTAAACTTAAGTTGGAAATTATATTCAGGAACCATGCCATCTGTGCCACTAGGTTGGATTCCTGTCATGTAGATTAAAAAAATTCTAAGAAGTGTGAATTTTCTGCAGATCTTTGCAAGAGCTTGCCTAACTTCACAGCATTTTGTTTACGTGGTAATGTCGGTGCATATCCTTTGAATGTATGGCTTCAGGTGTGGCTAGACAGTGTAGTAAACCATGATAATTTTGGGGGGGGGGAGGGGGAGTGTTTGGTTTGGTTTTTTTAGAAAATAAAGTATTTTGAGCAATTGGAAATTCACTTGATATATAACTTCATTATGGGCATGATTTCATTAACTGAAAACAAGAAGAGTTAAGCAAAATTCCCATCTTCTGTGTTCTCTGTTCTGATTCCACAAGAGTTCATTTCTAATGTATTATCTTTAAAGAATAAAACTGCTTAGAATAGGATGTCACATCTTTGGTAAATGATCTCTTCTCTCTGCCGAAATGCAAGATCAAACAAGTAGCCACACCTGAGGGTCAAAGGGATGTTTCTTGATTAAACTGATTTTTCAGAGACTGTACACAACATTAGTTATATGAGAAAAAAGATTAACATTGTTACCTCTTGCTCCTCCCAAGATCCCATTTTCTATATGTATGGTACATCCTTGCCACGCAGGTAACAGTTTCTTCTGTGTATCCATGAGATAAAATCGTGCTATGTTTTTCTTCCAATGCTAATTTGTGAAAATATATAAAAAAAATATGAGATGTATGAAAGTATTTGCAGCTTCCTTTTTGGCTGTTCCTTGCAAGCCTGAAAAATGTATCTTTCATTTTATTGAGAGGTTGCTTCATTTAACTAGTAGCTGTAGAGTACTGAAAGGGCTGATGAATCTTTTAAATGAGACATCATTGAAGTGCATCAACATTGCTTACTTTTGATTTAGCATTTCGTAGTGTTTTCTGATAAATATTTTTGAGAGTTTTAGTCTGTAGTTTCAAAGCTTATTGGCGTTGTTACATCTAATAGTGAAGTAGCATGTTGAATATCTTCCCTGTTCATTAATTCTAGGGGGATTTTTTTTTATAGATTATTAATATTACAGTCTTGTGAAAGTGTTTTAGTTTTGCTTGATTTTATTTGAAACTATTCCTTTATAGACCATCTCTAGTGGATAGCTGAACTCAAATTGTGGAATATGGTTCTTCCCATCGGCCCCAGCTCTTCTGCCAGCTCAACATAAAAGCCATGCCATACCCCAGAAACTAAAAGAATGAGGGTCAAAGCATCAGTGTGGTGTTTTCTGGCTGACAGCTGAAGACCTTAGGCAGCAGCTCACAGTGAGCAGCCGGTGCAGTGGGGAGCGGGACAGATGCACAGGGACGGGTAGGAGGCAGCTGACTCCTGACTGCAGGCTTAGGGCAGCTTTGGATCTGTGAAAGGCTCAAAGATCAGCTTGAAGATTGAAGAACCCTACTTTGATGAAACCCATTCCTCCGTCCCAGGGAAAAGCATGAGGCTGTCTGCATGCCCTTGTAGCAGAGCCGTTACTGGAAATTGTGAATTTTTGCAGGGACAACATCCTGGGCATTAATCCAGTGACCAAACTCGCTTCTCGTTTGGCATTTTATATCTTTGAAACCCAGCTTTTGGTTGCAGCAAGGGATAAGGAACACTTTGTTCTCCTTCTCCTGCATGGCAGGCAGGTAGGAGACAGAAGGCATGTTATCTCTGCTACCCTTTTGGTAAGCTTGAAGGTCACTGTTGGGACAAAAGGAGCCTCTTCCACTCGCCCTTGTGCTTCTCTGGTCGAGTGCTTTCAAGACCGGTAGGGCTTGTGTTAAGCCGTTCAGAGCATGTCACCAAGGTACTAGAGAAGCAGAGAAAATGCAGGCAGAGTCATGCGAAACGGCAGTCTGCTTTGCTTTCACTTGCTGGTGCTTCTCAGCTTCCCAAACAGTAGTAAGAAAAATAAACTTCATTTTTCTTTAATGTCACTGATGTGAATAGCAGCAATGACAAATCACTTGGATTTCCCCGCTTTGCACCCTGCACCTGCTTATAAACCTGTCAGCACTTCAAGCTCTCTGATTGTTCAGAAAAGCATCACGGCATTTACTTACAATTGTTTCCAACTGAAAAAAAAGGGACTATATCTTCTTTCCAGAAAAAAAATCTCTTAGTGGAAGCGAGCTAAGCCTTCAGTGGTGAATTTGAGCACATGTGTGTTTCTGAAGCAGCAATAGTTTTGCTGAACAAAGTTCTAAAAACCTGAAAATCTCATCCTGACCTGAATGCTTGCCAGAGAGGTTTCCCCCTCATTTTTGAGCAATGTTTTAAGAGTGCCTGCCGGTTCAGCTGAGTAAATGAATCCTCACTTACTCTCCTACGTCTTCATCTTTTAGTTCAGTACTACCTTCTCTCCATCCAAAGTAGTGCAAAGAGGCAGACAAAAAGGCACGCGTTAAAAGGATGCATTAAGGCAAATCTTATGTGAGTTTTTACAGACATAAATCTAATTAATTGCAGCTTCAAACAGAAGATAAAAAATGAAGTTGCTCTTTTTGTGAGTGGATTTCTACATAGGGCTTGTCACAGGAAAAGCTTTTATTCCCAGTGGTTTGCAGCTTCTGTTCCCAGTCTTTTCCATGCAGCTAGGGCAAGCTTTAGGAGACCGACCCAGTGCCTCGGGAGGGTGGTTACGCCATCCAGTCCATTGCAGGACCGTTTCTTTTGGGGAAGGTGGTGCTGTTTATTGAATTCTCCTTTTCCTGTGATTCCTGAATGAGGCTTTTCCTTATGGCTCTGTGGTCACCATCCTGCTTGTTTCATCCTAAATGCTGGACTGACTGCTCCATACCTGGCTTTCTTCTAATAACCCCACTTGGAAATGTTCTTACATACAGAGGTAAACATTTAGGTGCTTTTTGGTTTCATACTGGCTGTTGCTACTGGGGCTAGCCCAGCGTGGGATTTTCTTGCTCTTGATTGGAAAGAAGAGTGTATTTCTCAGAAGTCTTCCATGAAAGCATCCAGGCTGCATCTGAAGGCACCGAGTTACACCGCCTCTGCCACTTCCTTGGGCACTTCCAATTGTCTGCCAGCTTTACTGTCAGTTTATTGTGGCTAATTTCTAATGTTTCTCTGGCTTTTGCTCCTTATTGACTGAAATGCTTTTTTTGCACCCTGGTGGTTTTCCCTGTGCATCTGCCTGCCGCTGCCACCTCCAAGCACCTTTTGCTTTTCCTTTTGATCACATATACTCTCAAACCTCTTGCTGGCAGGCGTTTTCCTCATCTGTTTAATAACCCTGTGACTCTTCTCTGAAATTTCTCAGTAGTTCCATAGCCTTTATTAAGTATAAGCATCAAAACTGTACTCTGGAGCTGTATCAGCTTCACTAATGCTGTATATAGTAGAAAAAAAAAACCAAAATCTTTGCAGTTGCCATGCTTATACCTTCTGAAGTTACAGTTGCGCCAGAGCAATTTGGGCTTTCAGGGTGATTTGTTTTCCAGTGTGTTTCCTAGATCCTTTCCGAGTCACTGTTTACCAGGCTGCCATTTCCTATTCTGTAGAAATGGCCTTCATTCCTTATTCTTACATGTGTTAACCAAGGGAAAAAAATGAGCGACACGAAGAGTGCAAAATTACTAGCTGCTGTCCTACTGCAGTGGATGTTGTGAAGTAGAAAATTCTTTGAACAGGAAAAAAAAAAAAAGAAAACCTCCTTTGATATTTATGTGTACTCTCAGAATGCTGAGATTTGTTGGCCATGTTAAAAAAAAAAAACCAAAACAAAACAAAAAAACAAGAAAAAACAAAACTCTTTTTTTTCTCACATGAATTCTCTCAGACATTCAGGAGGTTTATCTCCACGCAGGGATATGTGGCCAAAAAGGGTACATTGCAGGACCAAGATGACAGCTATCATTTATCTTTGTCATATTCCAATTCCTTTTCAAAGTCAATGCTGCATGTATTTAAAAAGAATTGTGGGAGCCATTACATTAGTAATAATACTGACACTTTTTTTTGTCTCTTTCTCAACTGAAGTTTGCATACTAATGTTGCCAGGAAAAGCATCCAAAATGTTAATCAGAAGCAAATACTAAAGAATGTCTGTACTCTAAGCAGGTAAAGATTTATATGCTGATACATTTGCTGAGATTGCAGGCGTTACTGGTAGATCCAAGCAGTACAGTGAATAACCTGCAGAGACAAAAAGCGATTTCAGGACAGCTGCAGGTTGTTCGCTGTGCTTTATCATAAATGCCGCTTATCTA